TTTAATATTTCCTAATTATATGTTAATATTCCTTAATTGACATTTTTACCCTTAAATCAACCATTATAAGCACCAAATCAGAATTTAATAGTTGGAATTCATTTTTTTAGATACAATTAATTTTTTCTAATTGTTGGTAACTTTTCAGAATATTTTCGGAATATGTATTGTGGGACTTATGAGCCAATTAGGAAGCCCATTAAAGGCCATTGGGTTGGTTTATTTAATTAAATTAAAATGATTCAGGAAATGGGTCGAAATGGGTGCAAACGTCTTGAAATAGCTAAAAATGGCTGAAAATGGACGAGAAAAAGGGCAGAAAATGGATGGAGAAATAGAAGCCAATTCTTACAAAAAGTAAAAGTTTTTTTAGCAAGTTGATTCCTCATTACTTGAAATGGATCCTAGATCTTATATAAGAATAAAACAATTCCAATTTAGAGTAAAAATGAGGCTATTTTCTTCTTTTTTCTATAAGAGGATAAGCACTAGTGTTCTCTAGTTTTTCATCGATTTTGCATGTTATTTTTTGATAAAAATTCGATCTTCACATCCTTATGAATTCTTTTATTTGATTAATTCAGGTGAGAGGTGAATGAATCAAATAAACAATCAATTTCTAAGGATTTCATTCAAGATTTTGGTTGAACTTGTTCATCTGCCTATTCCCTAGTGTCAAAGGGGGAAAATCTTGATATCAACCCATTTTTGTACACTTCTTGATGTTTTTGAGTTTTGATTAGTTTTAATTTTATTTATGAAATATATTCTGCAACAAAAATTAATTGATTTGTTTCAGATTTAGAATTGTTCATGCACCTGATCATTGGTGTCAAATGTCGATTTTCTATTTTTGATCTATTTTAATTTCTTTTTCGTAGTGTTTTCTTGTGTCAATTTGATTCTAAACTTTTTTACAATCCCTATTCCTTCTATTTTGAAGTCTATTTTCATATAAAGTTGTCTAATAAATTGTTAATGTCTCCAATGGTGTGTTCTCCATGCAATACAGCCTTTTCTATCTTTTCAGCTTGTTCTCTCTCTATCCTCCTCTCTTTGTCCTCCCCTATTTTTTCTATCAATAAATTAGATTAATTTATTCTCATTAATTAATTATAGATTAAGTAGTGGAGATTCTTAATTATTGCTAATTAGGTTATTTATTATTTGGTTAATTTGAGTGTGACAATGGAAGAATTAGGTTATTTATTATTATTTTCTAATTAGGCAAATTATTTTTGATAAATAATTTGAGTATTGCGATTGATTGAGCACATAACCTATTTTCTACTAGATTTTTTTTCATTATTTTAATATTTATTTATGTTGATATTTATTTATCAAAAAAATAAATTTATTGTCTTACCTACAGATTCAGCTTAAACTCACCATGATTACTTGATTTATCTTAAAGTAAATTCAGTTTTATAAATTTTAGATTTGACATCTCTTAATAAAATGATTAAGAAGTAGAGTGGGCCCCATTACTAGGCCATTATAAAACTTGTGTGAAATATCCTTACTGTAGTTTAGATTCTACAAGGGAAAGAGTGATATGTAGCTAGAGGAAATAGGAAAATTTTGAGAAAAATTAGAGACTTATCAATTCACCATCCCCTTCCTAGTGATGTGTTGTCATATTGAGCCTAACTAGGTCAACATACATTGACATAGGCTTGCTTGGGTTGACATTGTTTACTTTCAGTAAACACAGTTTAGTTTGAAAGGACATAGTTTGGCTTAGGTCAACACAAGCCTAGATTTTGTGATGAGGTAAACACACTAAGTTATTGATAAGTCTTCATTATCATGAGTTAATAATTAGTAAATAATATAGTTTTAGCCTTAACTCATGATAAATAGACTTATAGTTGTGTTAAAGCATGAAAAGTGGTTTTCAGTTGATTAACGTGAATTTTTGGGTAATTATGTGATTTTATACGATTTTTACAGTCTTAGTTTTGAGATAAATGAAGAACAAGAAATAAAAATAAAAATATTGCAAAATGAGAGGAGCCGCCGGCCAGCCGTGCCCGCTAGCAGGTCGGAAGCGCAGTCGGGGAGTAGCCGCGAGCAGGGGCTCAAGCGGTTTGCTTGAATCGATAGGGGCACGTGTGCGCCTCACCCCTCCAACGTTACCGGTAGTCAGCCGGTTGTGGGGCAAGGAGTGGTCGTACACGGGAGAGGACTTTGCCTAAAGCTAACTTTACTATATAATCGCCCGAATAATCCGCGCACAACCGATGTGGGACTAAACCCGCGTCACACCTTGTTCAGGGGCGGGCGACCGCCGCAGGTTCGAATCCTCCCAGAGTCAAAATTCATATATTTTTAACTGATTAACGCGACTTTCCTGCAGATCGCCGGTGAAGGATTAAGCAACCGGAATCGCTGGATCATCGGCGAAAATCTCGTCAACGCGATTCGCGGAGCATTGCTACTAAAATTTCTGAACGATTCGCGATAAAAGGATCGCAATCCATCGAGTAAATCATCTCCGATTGATCGACGAACAAGCCGTCGTCGGGAAGAGGACGATCCGCCGGGAGACCAGTCGCCACCTCCTGAGAGCGTACCAGATGCGATGAAGAGCCTCCTCTTGCTGCGCGGACCTGAGGATGAAGCTCCCTAACACGCGCCCCACCTCCATCCAGCTCCTCTCCGTCGGGTGACAGCCGCCGGAGAGCCGCAAAGTCGCCGTTTTTCCGCTCCGCCGGGTGACAGCCGCCGGAGACGATTCGACGACCCACTTCATTGATCTCTAGACTTCGCGAGAAGATCTAGAGATTGCCCACGTCGTCTTTGTCCAAGGAGAGCCTTCGAGGCCGTGGACACTGCACGACGATCCTCCCGAACGCTCAGGATTCCGGTGCATCGCCGACGCATCGCCGTCGCGACGCCGGAACTCTGTTTTCCTGCTTTCAATTTAATTTACGCTTTATTTAGTGATACTTTGTGTGATTTTAATTTACCAAACTATACTTCGTTCAATTACGATTCTTCCGGCTTTTACAGATCTTAATTTGATTAATTGAGTCGTCTGTAATCGCCTACGTAAGAATCGCCGGGCGGAACTCTGTTTCCGCCTGATTCGCGTTCGCCGGGCGCTGACGTCATCCTGACGTCCGCACCCTTATTTCCTTTTTTTCGTGAATTTTAAATATATTTCCTTTTTATTTCCTAGTATAAAATTCGTAAGAAAATCGTACTCATTGAGAAAAATTCTGAATAATTACCAGATATTATATTACATCCCTGTGATCGACCTGGAAAATTACCGCTATTTTTGGAATTTTTATTGAATTATAATTGATATATTTATTTAGAAATACTTCTAAATATCCGAAAATTCGTATTTTCTAGTTTTATAAATTTTATATTTACGTGATTTAACATACAACGACTGAGTCACGTCAGTTATACAAGATACAAAGATTTATACTAGCTTATTCTTCCTTGCATGTCTATTTACCAAGGGTTTGTACTGTTAGTTTCCACTTATTGTCCACAAAGAACTATCACTGAAATTCATGAGATTGACAAATCATTTTAAAAAATAGATCACTAGTCCATCTCTCCACACTAGAAATAAAAACACAAGTTTACCTTTCTTTCCTTTGTTACCAACACTTCCTAGAGTTGTATCAGAAAAAATATTATCCAAACATAAAAATAAATTCAGATGCTGAATAGATAGACATCTTTGATTTGGTGATGAATTAAGCACATGAGGAAGCTTTGTTGAAGTTACTCCTGCAATATAATTTTTCAGAGTCGTTTCCAAGAGCAATTTGATTTGTCATTGAGTTAATATTTTAAAGCTCTTGTGATGAGATATATATAGAGCCCAAAGATGACCATTAAGAACTGGTTGCTAAAACCTTATTTAGGTTGAGACTTAGCTTGATCCAGAAAACAATATATTCACCCAAGTTGTTATTTTGACCAACTTTTAACTATGTCACCAAATAGATATGATAGTGCAAGATTTTCTCATTTTTAATTGATCTTCTAACATGTCAAGATAGATCCTTGTTAATCATATTTCAATACGTGTCATAAATTTCCAAAAATCTAATATGTCAGATTTCCTTTAGAAAAGTCTTTTCTTTCTTCTGAGATTTGATTTTTCTTTTTTGGCTTGACATAGTTCCTCTCAAAAGTTTAGATGGCCATTACTTACCTTTCCTTTGTTGAGACACTCTCTCTCTTCAACTATCTATGGATCTAGGCACTCTCTATCCTTAAATTTTATTTTTGAAACGTGTTACTTTTATGGTCACTTTGACATCCTTCTATTATTCCTTTTCCAAGAGACATGTCTTCATTATATATCATTTGTAAAAAACACAATCTAAAAAAAAAGATTATATACAATGACTTAAATTTATATCCAAACTTTACTATTGTGATAGCATGTTTATAGTTTTTTTATCTTTTTATGAATACTTGTTTAATATCAAAATATTAAAATCCGTAAATAAGAAAAATCTTATTTTTATTATTTCAATGGTTCAAATCACCTATAACACCACCACTTGTAGTGAGGGCTCGAGAGTACGTGGATCTTTAGGGAGTCATTGATTTACAACGGTGAGATAGCTCTAAAAAAGTAGCACTTATAACTTGGGGCTATATATATAGAAGAGACTAACTATGAACTATTCTAATTTATCTCTCGATGATGTGAAACTAATAGACACAAGAGAATGACTTTCCCATCACCAAGCCTAGTCTGCATGTTCCAAATTGGTCTACCGTCATCTTCTAAAGTAAAGATCAAAATCTCAATCTTCTTGGTTTAAATTATATATTTTATTAAAATGTGTCAGATTTTATTCCCCAATGTTCTAGTGATGTTTTTGGCAGCTCCAAGGTACTAATAACATGATTATCTGTTCACTTACGAAATCCATAATGCACCTTAGTTTACTAGACATTTTTGAAACCAAAATGTAGTTCCTATTTTTCCAATTTTATTAGAAGTCAATAGGACCTAAATGACTTTTTATACTTATTTTAACTTCAAATTACTTGAAACTACTATTACAAAGGCAAGTGTGATCTGAAACAGATATCATCATTCTTGTCCCATCGTACATTTGTTCAGGCATGCCTAAGGGATTATGATGATAAATTTCATTGCAAAATAACAATGTAATGAAGTTGAATTTAAAAATATAATATTTTTATAAATATTAAAAATTTTGGTAGAACAAGCTGAAACCCTTACATGTTTGGTTTAACATATGATTATCTTGATTGGCCAAATGGTGCATGTTACTACATAGTTTCTAGCTAGTGAGGGTGCATGTTGCATGACACAGTTTCTAGGTTGTGAGAGTATGAACGAGAAAATGATTAAATATAAACATATCATCGTGCCAATGTCAAAACTAATAGTTGAAAATTTTCAAAAATATTTTAATGTTGCTATGATGGTGTTCATTTTTATGAATGGGCAATAAGAGGAAATAAATCATCGAGGTGATTTGACTGCTTTGAAATTTCTCATAGTGTGCCACATGAGAAAAAAATTAGCATTGGAAAGTAGGGTTTGAGTGTAGTAAGCATCTTTGTGTTGAAACTGACATTTTCCCCTCTCAAAATAGGTCGGGCCAATACAGTTATCTGCTCTATTCCTACCAACGTCTAGTGGCTGATCGAAACTTATCTTTGCTCAAGCTACTTGCTAGGATGGCTCCTTGAAAAATCGGTTGGACACAAGTGGCGGTGGAATCGTTATGTGCACTCCTGGCTTACCTTTGAAGACCAGGAGTAGAGACTAAATCCCGAAGGTGGAGGGGTAACTTCATTCGGGACAGTAAGTCGTTTAATTTTTGTATACAATGTTCTTTCTCAGGTATTATATCAAACATTGAATGTGAACACTCCAAATATGTGATTTCAATACCTGTGTTTTTATGCATTTGCGCTGGTTTAAAATTCAGCAAATTAAGCCGGTGCGGGCAGGAAAATTTTCAGCGATTAAGGCAACAACTTTAGCCGAAAAGAATAGACCTACTTCGCATCGTGTTCTATGTCCAGCTAATTAATTTGTGTTTACTAAAGGCTAAAAGAGAAAACCCATTGTCATCCTTAAGGACATTGCGTGAGAGAGGACCGTTCTGTCCCACTGTCATGTGTGAGAGAGGAGCTAATCGGCCTCTATCCTCGATATCGGGAAACAGAAACAGACGAAAGGACTTGCCTTCCCCTGCTTTCCTTTTCGCTTTATTCCCTTTAAAAAACCCCATTTAAAGCACTTTGCTTCTTCGTCCCTAAGCAAACTCCCCACTTGCCACTCTCACCTGTTTCTTTTCTCCTCTTCTTCTTTTGGGTTTTCTTCTGTCTTCATTTCTTGCTTCAACGTCTACTAGATAGGCTACATCCTTCTTCACTACTTCGCTCTCTGGATTACTTCTCCAGATGCTGCCTACTATTGCAACCTTACCCCTCCTCTGGATTATATGTGTTGCTCAGGCCTCCGTTTGCCGAACCGACTGCGGTGGCATTCAGATACGCTATCCCTTCGGAATAGACGGCTGCGGTAACCTCTTCTACCGCAACCTACTCCTATGCGATGATTCAACATCAGCTCCCCCACCTCCGCTTGCGGACACCCTCGGGCACCTACCAGGTTAGGGGGATTAACTACTACGATTCGCACCTCATAATCTCCGACCCCTCCATGTGGAGCTGCAACGAAGTTGACGGGTACGGCACAGCTGTCTTTAACTCACCTCAACGGCCACCCTTCAGCCTTGACGCCAGCACCCGGCTCGCCCTCTCCCCCAGGAACAATTATCTCTTCTTCAACTGCAGCCACGAGGCTGTCATCTTCCAGCCGAAGTCGAGGATATCGAGGCCGCGTGCTGCGGGCCGCGAATGAACAAGAAATCCCCTTTGACCAACGCATTATGCCATAAGATGTAAATAAATGACAGCAGGGGAAGGCAAGCCTCTAGTTTCTGCACCACATGACAAGAAACCCCGAATGCCCACGTGCTGCGGGCCGCGCGCTGTCTGCGGCATCTTGCTGCTCATATTACCCCAAAGCATTGGAGTCGCTGCGGCTGATGCTGAGATTCTGCACCACATACACCAGCATCTACTGGCGGACAGTGGGTCTCAACTTCCCGCCCTATGATCAAGTTCCGGAGTACGGCATTCGCATAGACTTCCAGATCCCGTTGACGACAGGATGCTTGCAATGCCAGGACGCCGAAAGACGCGGAGGCACTTGCGGGTTCAACACCGCTAACAAAGACTTCTTATGCCTCTGTCGGGAAGGCAACGCCACCACCAACTGCGCTGGTAGATCATCCTCTAGTTTCTTTCATCATCTGCTCTCTTGTGAATTGTTATGCTAATTTCTCCATGACTTCTAGGTAGATGGTGGTGGCCCTCCGAGGTGCAAAAGCTCGACTGGTGCTGTAGTCGGTAACCTGTTAAAACCCTTGACTTTAAGCTCTGCATCCATTGACGGATCCATTACCTCTTCTCTTTACCCTCTGCTGGCTCAGGAGTGATGACCGGAGGATCGGTGGTGGGGATTGTCAGTGTCGGAGCTCTTGTGTGGTTCTTTAAGAAATTGAAGGCTAGAAAAGTCACTTGTGGGGTCCAGAGCAACGAAAACAGGATCTTTTGAGTACGATGCACAAATGTCGAATGAACAAGAAATCCCCTTTGACCAACGCATTATGCCATAAGATGTAAATAAATGACAAAAAGAGGTAAGTAAATGTTGAAAGTAGAAAATAAATTGTTGCCTGAATTTAGACTACCTCTTGGACAATTGGAGACACTAGTGTTGCAGCTTGATTTCGTCCGAACATGTTACACTACGTTAGAACTCGCAAAAGTATCATCTGGAAGCGTTACGCTACTTATTTGAGAAATCCACCAAAAGAGGGGTCGACCACATTGTCACCGTCGTTTGAAGGGAGAAGAGAAGAGCTAACCACTTGTTGGAGGCTTTTAGTGCAGTTGGGGAAGGAAGAAATGAGCTTTGTCAATTGCTAGAGGCATTGATCGCACAAAAAGAGAGGAAATTAATTGTCATTTTTACATCAGCCATTGGGATTTTAAAGATAATTGATAACATCTATTTTTTTAGATAATAATCAATTATTGTCTTTATATCCCTAATAGTGATACATGTAAGAGCTTAAGTTCCCAGTATCGTGACACTTTGAGAATTGCTAGATCAAATGAGCTTGCTCATGTGGTGTGCTAAGTGACGTAGGATCAACCCCTCATAAATCACTGTCAATTGGGAACTTAAGTTTCTGGTACCATGATGACTCTTTAGTTGTCAGATCATCCTTCAAAGTCACGTGTGTTCTGAGTGGCATTAGATTTGCAAAACGTCAATGGATTGCTTTACGCATCTAGTATCGTGGTAGTTCATGATTGGCTAGATTGGAGGTGTCAATTGACCTCAGTCTACTCAATAAAAATATAGATATAGATTCACGATTAAATATTGATTCACCAAAATAAATATAGACAAGATGAGTTAGGTCATCTCTTTAGGGAATTAGAATGTAAATATAATCAATTATTAATTAGAGATGACAAAGATTCGAATGTGGGCAAAACAAAAGGAAGAAACTTGAGCATGTGATGAGTTAGATTTCTACAAGTGTCGTTAGTCCTTAATCTCCTCAATCAAAAATATTATGAGTTATGTTTTAATCTGATTCATGAAATAGTCATAGATAGCAATGAGTCAGGTCGTCTCTTCAAGAATTTGAGGCTTACTATTTAATGTTCATTCTAATGAAGAATGGAATGAGAAAGAAAATGTGGGGTCATGGATTGGATGGAGAGAAGAAGGGGGAATGATGAATCAATTGTTTGTATCTTCTGCTATTTAATTCCTAATTAAAATCTAACCTAAACTAAACTAAATAGAATCTGCTTCATCTCAAAACTAACTTGGTGTCATTCTTCTTTCTTCCTTACCTCCACCAAGAAGAGGCATTCACTTAAAGTAACGGGAGAGACCTCATTCAAGTGAGATGAGGTGTCCCAGATGGACACACCTATATTCACATGATGTAAAGCTTAGAAAACCCTAAACCCCTCTGGGCTGGCTGAATCACCGAAGGCTTCCTTCATCAAAAACTATTTGTAACATTGGTTTTTCGAAACATATAGGGCGATATTCACTCTCTCTCCTCTCTAGTTTGCCTCTCGCGTGTGCACAAGAAATTGCCTGAAGGTTCGGGTAGTTTCCTCCCTCACATGGCTATGCTTTGTTGGATTAGTGGACTCCCTACTCATGAGCTCTCTCCTAGGCCATCAGATCTTTCTCCTACCAAAATGCCACCTCCTCACTCGTGCGAGTGACAATTGAGCTGGTGTATCACAATTATTGATGAAGTGGCTATCCTAAGGCAAAATAATTTGATTAGAAAAATCACAAAGTATATTCGATGTCTAAAATAATTTTGTTTAATCAGATAATTACATGTGTATGAGGAAACTATTCTTACAAAATTCTAAGAAATATTTGACATATTACTCCATCTTGAAATATTTAAAAATTATCTTTATCAACATAAAAAACACATTAATAATCTCATAGAGCTGTAAAATTAACTAAGTTAATGTGTATTCCAACAAATTATTCATGTGCTATCACACCCTCCAACCTCTCTCATTGCTAGTCCCTTAGCAATGGATTAGGAACGATTGCATTGCTATGATTTCGTTGCATTCATCTTCATCATTACCTACAAGATCATGAATTTGTACTTTGCAAATTTTAAAGAAAAACTTAACTCATTTCATATTTAGGCATCTCTAAGTCTTCATTAGATAGAGGTTAGAACCTCCATACTTTCATTTCTCACTAGTTTACTTTGTCTCAAAACTAACTTTTGTTCTTTGAATCTTTGTCATGCTTGGCTTATATGTACAAAAGTTGACTTGTAGATCCAATTCAACCAGCTTGCTTTTCTAATTTTTTATCCCATGAAGGTAGCTATTTCGTAGACAACTTTTTTCCTTTTATCCTAGCCTCACATGTGGAATCTCCACGGGACAATTGGGAAAGCTTTCTTTATTGCGCATGTCTTATGGGCTTCACTTTGCATGGTTGAGAGACATGTAGGTATGAGAGCTCTCAACCAATCAGAAGAAAAAAGGAAGAAATGGCATGGAGAAAGGTCGATAAATAATAGGAGGGCATTCTAGTGATTATACCCCCTCTTTTCCGCCCTATTCTGGACGTGCTCTAGCAGTGGCTAGCCAGCAGGACAAGGCATTTTCCAGGATCCGGGGTATCCACCCTAATAGATGTAAGTCATTTTGAAGCGTTCACTCTCGTTCTTCCCCTTCTTGTAGTGAAAAACGCCTGATCCTGGCGGAATATAAGGATCCAAGAACAGGAAGAAGTCTTGAGGGCTCAAAGGACCAACATCAGCACCCATTTTCTGCTGTTTCCCATCGCTCTGTCTTTCGTTCCGCCCCTTCAAGCTGCTCCACGTTTCCCTCTATTTTCGCCTATAGTTCCTTCTCTCTCCGTCTTCTCTTGCAGCCGCCTTCTCTCTCCACCTTCTCCCGCAGCCTCCGTCTCTTTCCGCCGTTTCCCGTCGCTCCGTCTGTCACCGCCTATCGCCAGCCACTGTGCGCTCACTGCCGGTCGCTGCGTGCTCGTAGCTCCTCGTCTCTCTCGTCCGCCGAGCACCGCTGCCGCCTATCGCCAGCAGCCGCGCGTCCGTTGAGCACTGCCGCGTGCCCATCGCAGCCGCCGCACGTCCGCCGACCATGTCGCCGCCTATCGCCAGCCGCCGTGCGCTCGCGACCGGTTGCTGCGTACCCGTCGCTCTCTCTCTCTCTCTCTCTGCCCTTCCGGACGTAACCGAAAGTCCTAAATTTCGGTAAAGTCCAGAAACGGTCACGAGAGATCTGCGCAGCCCCTCCTCTAACTCGACCGTCAACCGCCAAGGTAAGTTATTTTAGTATTATTTATTGTTGTTCTGTTCCATTAAATAAAATTAAAATAAAAATAAAAAAAATCAATTAAAATTAGAAACAAATACTAAAAAATAAAATTCTAATCATTAGCTGTATTTTCCACACAGGTTAATTCCAGAAAATTCTATTAAGCTCTCTAAAATCCTGAAATACTTCCAAAGAGTGAATTCCTAACTTCTAAATCTATTTCTACCATTTCTAGAACTAAAAAAATCTGAAATTGAACTCTTACCTCCCTATGGATCGACCCCTTATTTGCCCTATGTCTGATATAGAGTAACTAAGTGGAAAATTTATTATTGGTTAAGTCTGAATTAAAATAATGACACAAAAACCCATAAATTTGGACTTATCATAGCATCATTTGTCTCATAAACTATTGCATCAAAATTAAATTCATTTCAGATTGATTTTGATATGAATTAGGATATTGTGGGCCAAAATTAGGGACTGAACTTGAAGAAGAAGAGATAAAATTATGGACTGGTGGCTGATGAGTACCTTGTTAGAAACTATCAGTATTTTGCTGAAAAGAGAGCTTAACATTATATTGTGGTTGATGAGGTCTAAATGTATGATTAGGTCTAAGAAATGATTGAGAATTTATGGTATGATTTTGAGAATTTGAATAATTGTTTTGATTTTTTCAAGGAGGATTTGATTGATTCCTGTGATCATGAAGTGCATGTGCATGCTTTTGATCTAAATTGAGACATTGAGATTCATAATGATCAGCCCTACCACATGATGAACATCTAGAATATGAATGTTGTGCTGGGTGTGTAGGTTCCTTTTTATGTAGTAAATGATCATATAAAACATTCAACTTTTGATGAACCTCACTAACTTTATTTCTAATGTCTAATGCATCATGATTTCTAACCTCAAACATTCCTCTTTTAGTTTTCTTATTGATGTGATCATATAAAGCAAAAGATTCACATTCAGTGAATTCTCACTCAAATTTTATATAATCTATAAATTTCATCCTTATCCTTACTCATGTGGCATCTATAGTATTCTTATGCTGTTCAAATACACCATCATAAAATACACGATTTAATTTTCATTTGGTAATTCCATAATGTGGACATCTCCTTTGAAGCTCCTTAAATCTTTCTCAAGTTTCATAGAATGTTTCTCCTAATTTTTGAGCAAATTAGAAAATGTCTTTCCGAATGGCATGAGTCTTGCCAATGGGATAAAATTTTCTCAAAAATATTTGCTCTACTTATTTCAATGCGGTGATCTCATGTGGTAATGATGTGAGTCAATCTCTAACTCTATCATGCAATGAAATGAGAAGAGACATAACCTAAGTGCATCTTGAGGAATATTAGGAATATGAATAAGTTCATACATAGCTAATAATTGAAGAATATGTTGATGTGGTTTCTCATTAGTTAACTCACGAAATTCAGAAATCATTTGTAGAGTGCTATGATGAATATCAAAATGGACATTTGGCAAAATGGGATGATCTATTAATGTGACTTAATCACTGTATAGTAAATCACATAAATTTAAAATTTATAAAACTAGAAAATACAAATTTTCAGATATTTATAAGTATTTCTGAAAAAATATATAAATTATAATTAAATAAAACTTCTAAAAATAGCAATAACATTTCAAATCAATCACAAGAATGTAGTATAATTA